CTTCTTAACTTTATATTACTATAAACCCTCTAATATCCTACGTTAGAGTTGGATCGTTGGGCTCCTAGTTCCGCTAAGTCAACTGGTAGTTCACATCTATTTCAGTTCAGTTTTATTAATGAAAAATAGATGAACGCCTTTTAATTTCCTATCGGTAACAAAATGCCTAGGAAATCTATTGAAACGGATGAAAAATTGAAAAAAGACGTCGGTTACAGGATTGCAGGTGAAAGGCGGGCAGCTGCCGCTTAATCGAAAAGAGTAAACATGTATGGCTACTTATTTATTATGAGTAGTTTAATAATTGTTAGTGTAATTTTGTAATTGCCTGATCGCTGAGATTAGCATGTAGCTGATGAATAAGAAGATTGATGCACGTCCAGTTTTTGGTAAATCTGTTGCATGTCTATTTGTCAGATCAAAATAGGCGATTGTCCATGAGACAACACTGACCAAGTCATTGTTTCTGGAACTCTGGAGACCGAGTCTGCACTTAGAGGCAACTGAAAGGACTCCACTTCCGAGTCAATCCTGTCTATAATATGAACAGCTAGACAGTGGTGGCAGGTGCACGGAAAACTTAAATGTACGAAATCAGGGGCTGGCTGTACGATAGGAGGGGGACAAGCATGATCAAACGAGACCACTGATAATATACCTGGACCTGCGCTACTTCGAGGTATCTGTAGTTGCTAGATACTTAAGTACTTAAGTATCCAAGAACACTGTCCAGTGTTGTTCCGAATTTTGCCAATGTTGGTAAGCCAAATGTTTGACCACTGGCAGGGCTCAAGAGGGAACCTCAAGTCCCAATGGGACGAGTGTGTTCCGTAATGCTATCAGTTAGCACCAAAATATCACTATGCCGAAATGTATTAAACTTCGTGGACGTCGATACTATATCGCTTACTATTCGTCCTGATACTGAGGTAAAATGCTCTGTTAAAACGCTTAATATGGGCACTTTGAGTAGCCACGTGTGTCGTGAAACAATTCCAATGGAGGTGCTGTATTCATAATTAGAGTACAAGATCAGGAGGCCTCGATGGCTGAGTGGGCAAGAGCGTTGGTTGTACTAAAGCCGCCGAGTTCTTCACAAGTGGGTCAAATGAATCTTTGAAATCTGTCAAGCCTACCCTTATAATTACATTACACTTTACACTTTACACTTATGAGAAATTATTTATCTTCGAATATCTTTCAGCCTACAAACGATGAACAGTCAGTAAAAAAGATGAATACGTTCGATTCATGTAATCTAAACAACCGCTCTCATGCAATTGTAACAAAAAAGCAAAATGTGCTTGGATTGGAAATGTTTACGTGTAGATTTTATAACATTTATTACTTTGTAGCGTAATCTCAATATGCCTCAGACACATCAGGAGTGTCTTGTTACCTCTTGATGAGATCTCACCTGATAACTAAAGATGACTAGCCAAAAAACAGATATTGACTCTGGTGTTTTTCCATGTTCTATCGAATGTATCTATAGTTTCTATAAGATACAGTTAGGAAAACTACCCTTTTTCATACTCATTTCAGAAAAAGTTACGTCTCCTTCAAAGTTTCACGCGAAGAACGGCAACTTCTTCGTTCCAAAAAGTATCTAAGTGTGAACATTTTTGAGACTACAACGTTCATGCAAAACGCATCTTATTAATTTTCCCTCAATGCCCCTTATGACATATACGGAATAGCTCACATTCATTTCAACATTATATGAGCACTCCATATTATTGCCAATACAAGCGAACATGCGAGTCCCCAGAAGTCATATAGAAGAAGAAAATTTGATCAATGCGACAACACTTTTACTCGGCTGACGTTTCTTTATCAGAAACATGAACAGAAAGCAATAAAACCCAGTTCTGCTATTGCTTAACGCAAATACAACGGCAGAGCTGGCTTAAAAATATTCGTGAATGAGTAAATCGTTTTACACCCAGCTATACCTTCCTTCGAGTAGAACGTCTGAATAAGACAAAGTATGTTATTAAATGAGTAAAAAGAGCACATTTTTGTCAACGTTTTCACTAATATCTATTTGCATTTGTACGGGAGTCAAAATTCTAGAGAACAACTGAACTCTACATAAGGGAGCATTTTTTTTAAGTGAGGTTTTCTCGAGAGGCCAGAAATATTTTCTTTCAAAAGCCGGCCTCCTGGCGTGTTGAAAAAATGTTGGAATCATAGGTATTATAGCTTTATATTAGTACTTTGTTCCTCATCTAAAACGCATTTTCAACCTTTCCCTAGCTTGGATGAGATCAGTCACGACCTGTAACTAGACGTTGCAGTGTTTCCCGTTAGTGTTTTCTTACGGTATTTTGGATTTTAATCAAAGTAAAATAGCAATAAAGAGAGATCTGGGATGTCTAATTAGTCTCCGTCCTTCAACATTAGGTGGAGATAGGGTCGCGATAAATGTATAAGTTAGGTCAAAAGGGGTATCAAGTGCACTGGAACTTACAAGGAAACGCTCTGCCAGCGCGTCTAGTTCCCGTTCGGCTAAAGACATGGGGCTCTCCAGTGTTATCTGAGGGTAAGGCGAAATTGCAATATTTTAGTTCTTCCAAGACTCTGGAGACTTTCAGAAATAATAATACATTAGCCTTGCTTTCTTACCATTTTCTGATTTACTTATTGAAAACGAAGCCGCCAAAATTGCTCCGCCCTTAATTCTCGCCTCCCCCCCTGTCAGCGTATTAATGGGACAATTAGGTTAGTGCTAATTTCTGACCGAAAGGCGTCAGTGAGGAGCATAGCTTATTTTTCGTACGAGTTATAACCCTTGGGACCTGCATCTCAAAAAAGAGAACAACGGACCTTCGACATTATCAAGGGATTGCAGTGCCTACAAGGAGGTCATGGAAAAATGTGGACCCCCTTTTGTGCTAAAGCAACTAAACCGCCTCACAGATTTTTCCTCACTACAAACGGAAAGTAAATGTTTTGTCCCGCCTAGATTATTGATTACTCCCTGTTGTGTTACAATCTGGGGGGTAGCATTTCTGTCCGTGGTCAGGTAGGATAGAAGTGAACTCTACTCCGATGGGACTTGGACCTGTCACGAACGAGGCCACCACACCACGGATTCGTGGCTCTGTAGGGGTCTAAGTAGTGGTTGTACCTAAATCACTACAATCATCAGATCGAATCCCAGATTGGAGGTAAAAGGCAAGAGTTACCAGAATGAGAGGTTTATTGTATACAGAACTCCCAGTTGCAGTCGCAGGTAGCTGGCTGGCTGGCTAGTAGCCTAGGATTGGTCCTGACTGCGTCCAGCCAGGCCTGAGAGCGTTGACTGTCTCTTGTGTGGGGTGATGACAGTTCCTTAAGTAGGATTGTGAAGCAAGTTCGAATGGTTTATTATTACAGTAGTCGCCGGTTATTAAGCCCACCTCGGGCCCAGACCAAAT